GTGATACTCCTGATGACCCAAGCGCTAAAGGCTTAAATGATATTTTTCCTATTTAATTAAAGTGCTACTATCCCCCATCCAATGTTTAAAATTTGATTTACCTTTACGCAGAACATAGAATTCTAATTAGTCCCGAAAAACTGCCCAATTCCCATGTCTTTATGTGTGCACCCTATTGTTAATTTTTTGTTACACATACCGTTAAAATATCAGCATCCCTAGTTACGAATATTCGATATACTCATATGCATCTTCTATAAAATAAAGGTTGAATTTTGCTATGAAAAAATACATAAGAATGAATAAATGAAGCGCGGTTTAACATTCTACTTTTCTGCACCAACTGGGATAGTGAAGACAGGTGTATACGCAAGACAGGGTACTTACTCTTGTCTGCACTAACCAGTATAATGAAGACAGGGATACGCCAGACAGGGTAATTCCTCTTGTCGGCACTAACCGGTTAAGTGAAGACAGGAATACGCAGTAATCTCGAAAACTACCCAGGAAAATATTATGAAATTGTGTTTAATAGTTAGCAATATAATCATTCTTAATTTTAAATGTTACATATTTAGAGGTTCTTGGAGTTTCAAGGCGGCTTGTTCACATTTTTCCGGGTAAATATAGTTAGTAAACAGACTGACTTTCATTTACTTTGTCAAATCGAAAATATCGTATACAGTTTGCGTCACCATTATTATAATAATGTTAATCAAATTAAACCATTTATTTAATACATTTAGAAATGGGGTTTAACGTATCCATTTCTACACTGACTGGCCTAATTAAGACTGGTCCATTTAGAAATCAAAATTTTGAAAAACACATCTTTAAAATGCAGTCTTTTTATTGGAAGCGCAATAAAAAAGTTCTCGCCAAAAGAACTGATATTTAGATAATAATAATCAGTCCGTTTGTATAACACCCAGTTCCACATATTATCACAGCGCTAAAAGTCATGCCCCAGTTTCGTGGTGCGCCTAAATGTTCATCACAGATTTAATGTATTAGATTAAAGACCAGCAACGACGTATTCAACTTCTCCATTTCTTTATCCTTTCCTGAGGTCATATTTCCTGTTATGCAAGTGCATTTATATTTTTTGTTTATTTCTTGCAGTGTCTGTGCAGTTTGTCTTGTTGACAGGTTTGTCTTATCAGTTTGGTTTTGTGTGTAGTGCGGTTATCATAAACTTACTATTGCAGCTAGTGTTTACAATAACACTTTACAACAATTTCAGAGCAATCTGATTAAAATTATTCTTTATTCGATATATTGCCGTTTAAGTTTCAGACACTCTAAAACACTTTTCAAATTTTCGGTTACAAATTTAATCCAGTCGATTAGCATGTGACGTCACGGGGACTACGCATACTATATATACACGAATGTTTATTGACGGTTCAATTGACACACTGACTGAACTAATCAGTACACAAGCTACAAATAAGCATGCATTATATAAGGCAGAAGAATTTGTTACAAGAGGAGTAAAGGAGCTAAGTCGAGTAGGCGGTGGGCGCCCGGGTCCAGCTGGCAGCCACATTTACCCTCCCCCCCCCCACTACTAACCTAGCCTTGGCAAGATCATATTGGTGACAAGGCGGGCCAAACTGCGCATGCTCGCCAACTTTTACGGTTCCCAATACCATAAACTATTATTAGTACCGGGAGCAGGCCCTTTGGATGAAATTTGCCTTGGACACTACCCTGCAAAAGGTAATGTGTCTTATTTAAGGAAACGGAATCGAATAGGCCTGCTAATAGACCTCGCTTCTCATACCCATGCTAGTCTAAGCCTACCTCCTAGCAAGTTTCTCAGGAAACACTTGTCTGCGATATGACCCACGGTTGAAGCGGACGTAAAGCCCTACGCAACATTACGAGCGGACGAATTGTCTGCGATACTACCCAAGGCGAAAGCGGACGTTAAGCCCCAAAGAACGAACAAATTACGAGTGGGCCTTTCTCTTCTTGAATTCTTATTGATTATAAACTTGTGATTGAACAATTTTACAGTGACTTTGTGCTGTTGTGAGTTGTGGAAATTCCGACAAACATAAAGGTCATGCTCCGCCTTTGTTCCCATGCACAACAGTATCTGGCTATTTTTTATTTATATCACGCTTCAATTAACATTCGAGTCTTTAAACTGAACAATAATTATTTCAAACTTTCTCTTCTTGAATTCTTATTGATTATAAACTTGTGACTGAACAATTTTACAGTGACTTTGTACTGTTGTGAGTTGTGGAAATTCCGACAAACATAAGGGTCATGCTGCGCCTTTGTTCCCATGCACAGCAGTATCTGGCTAATTTTTATTTATATCACGCCTCAATTAACATTCGAGTCTTTAAACTGAACAATAATTATTTCAAACTTATAGCATAAAATACGTAAATTAAAGTTTATAAAGTTTCATGATTCGGCCAAATGAGTAACTTGATAATAGCGACGATCACACACTACTACAAATGTGTTGAATAATATCGTTCGGGGTTGTACAACGCTTCTTTGACAAAATACAATAAGTTCGAGCAGTTCGAAAATGAGGTCTTTTTTTCAATCTTGATAATCGCGACGATCACACACTACTACACCCTCGACAAATATACAGACATATTCATCCGTACACTTTACATTGTGTGGAATCTGGTAACTGAAAATTTATATTTCTTCTGAAAGAATCGCAGGACTTCACATACATGCAAGGGATAAGGATAAAGAATTAGCCCATTAATGGTATTTTAGTAGCTTAGATTACTATACACAGTGATAGCAAAATTGTACACAAATTGTCGTAAGTTTGATTGATGCTAGTTGTAAACTCCCCACCTCGTACACATTCATGATAATTTTAAACGGTAGAGTGTAAAATTGAAATTAAAGCATTAAAGATGTTCATTTTATCACAATGTTACGCGTGGACTGTAATTCATTTACGTAACGTAAATTCACACATATCTCATTTAACTTTTAACCGCAGATTGCATAATAAATACGTTATAAACATTTTCCCCAAAAAATAATCAACTTGCGTCACATTACTCTAAGCAACCAATGTACAAATTTAAATTGTGAAGTTCCGTTTCCGTAATATTTTCATTCTCGATTTGACAGACAGCGAATAAAATGGAGGAAAGACGAGTAATGACTTCCCCACCTTAATCGATACGATCCTGGTTGACACCAGCCTTATGTTAATCGTGACAATTTCATCACAGGGAACAATATAAAAGCTAGCTTCTTAAGAAAAGAAAATAAACAGACAGTTACCCTGTAAAGGTAAGTTGTTTTAAGGACAAAGGGGGTGTTTCTTTAAATGGGATTTGAAGGTAAGGAGTTACATGGATATGATTTAAATTGTATCAATTGCTAAGTGTAGTAAGTCGGAAAGTTCCTTGATTGGGTTTTATTCGTTATTGCCAATGGATTTTGAAATGAAGATTGAATGCATAATACCTAAATAAATATTTTATTTTAATTTGAAGATCCGAAAAATACCCCCCAGAGTATTCAAAATATCTTTATGTTGATAAAATTGTTAAATATTATCAGAATTATATTGTGGATATCCTTCACGATTTCTGTTTATTCTGCTTGTATTGAATTTCTAATGAATTTTAATCTATTCAGACGTGAATTGTTTAGAAATTGGCATCCAGTAGTTGTGTAGAACTGAACTTTTTGAATTTGGGCGCGTAGTTAACTATTTATTTTCCAGCTGTGCCTTTTTAAGACTAGCTTCGCATGTCATTTGACATTACATTATGTGATCTCGTAAATTGATTATATTAAAATATAGAAAATGACTGTTAAATAGGCACCGGCCATGCATAATGATTCAATAGATTGTCAATATCAAGTGACTTCCATCAACCGTAAATAAAATCAATTTCAAAATAAGATTTATAAATAAATTAATCAATTAATAAAAGTTCGTAAAAATCAAATTCCATCACACCCACCTATAAAAAATTAAATTAAAATCAATAAACAACAGATCCATAAATATATTGGACAAATTTGATGTTGGTATTGGATTAATGACGTAAAACAAAATGGGGGGGGGGGGGGTCGTGGGGTTAACGTCTCACTTCCAAACAGACTAATCAAGACTGGAAACTTTGTCACGGCATACCCTGAGTTCAATTTCCAACTGTCAGAGAATCTTTAACGTGTTGACGAAAGACTAGGCATTTTTTATTCTTAGATCTCCCGCCCTGCACCACTGGCAAAAGGTAACTAGACATGAAAAGTTTGAACCAGCACCATACTGACAGAGCCAATCCATATTGGGACACTACCGTCTTCATCAGTCTAGTAGGAGCAGAACATTAAACCATATTTCATTTCTTTCCAATCGCAATTTGGACGTAAACTAGACTTGATGTTGGTTTATGAAATTTAAAACGAAGTGTAATAGAAGCCAATTCTTAAAAAAAATATTGAACTGGGGTGGGACCTTACTTCATTCGGGCATCAGTTTTGAAATTACAGATCGTCGTTTAATGTTGACTGAACAAATATAACAAAACTACCGCTTCGATGTATACATATGATATTTAAATTTGCGAGCCGTACAAATGTGTTAGTGATTTTCAAAGAGTATTTGAATATAACATTACATCTTGGTGGTAATAATAATTAATTACTGTTTACAACAAGAGATATGATTTACTATTGCGAGAGGACTTTAAACCCAATTTTTCTCTCTTATGATTTACTATTGAATTCGGGGTGCTATTAGTTGAGAGGTAAGGGTGCAACAAAACAAAACAAATCAACATGTAAAATCCATTGAAATCGATATTTTATCTCTGGCTAATATCAAAGACAATATCTGACAAAACAAATCAACATGTAAAATCCATTGAAATCGATATTTTATCTCTGGCTAATATCAAAGAGATGCAGTTTTGGAAGTAATTTGATTCAACCTTGATAATTGTGATGGTAATTATTATAAATATTGTATTTTAATTTTCAGGCTTGGTCATTGCAGTATTTCAAAGAAAACAAAATACCATGGATACAACATCACCACTCAGCAACATCACATCGGACTTTGGTGATATGATGGAAAATAACACCTACGATATGATGGGCAACATGATGAACACGACAATGGCGCAACTTGTATCCACTTATAAATCAAAGCCTAGCCTATATTTATCGGAGGATGACCGTCTGAGCAAGTTTATTGAGTTTAGAGCAGCTTGGGCGTTAGATACGATTTACGCTCCGATTTGTTCGTCGTTAGGAATAATAGGGAACACGATGTCCTTTCTTGTGTTGATGCTATCAAAAAGCACAACTACCTACCAATACATGGCCACCATCTCTTGCACCGACACCCTAGTTCTCATCCTCAACATAATGTTCCTCGTTCGAAAATTTCCAGGACACGAAATTTTCTACAAAGGGACATGTGAATTGATCCTGTTCCTCTTTTTCTTTGCGATTCATTTTAACGTGATCATTATGGTAACCATGACGGTGGAGCGGTACCTAGTCATCAAGTTTCCTTTGAAAGCATCGAGATGGTTCAATGTTCGAAAAGCACGTATTATTATCTTAATAGAACTGTTGATAGTGTTTCTGTTGGATATGCACAATTTCTTTACCCGCCAAATGGTATCAACTGAAGATGGCACAGGCACCCAATGCTCTTCTGAAGGTGAGATGAATCAGTATTTTCTCAGCAAAATTTATCCGTGGATTGATGCTGTATGGTATTGTTACTTGCCATTATCGTGCCTGTTTATTCTGAATGTACTCATTATCACACAAATCAAGAAATCTGGTAAAATGCAGAGACGCATGACACAAACAGATAGGGCGTCAAACGTCACCAAAGCGGATAGCAGCGCCAGAGAACGTCAGATCACCACGATGCTTCTTCTGGTTACGTTTTGTTTCCTTTTGTTTGTAAGTCCGATGGCCGTTATAATCGTCGTTGAAAAATACATTTGGGTGAAAGAAAGTCCTCATGAATCGGCTGTATACCATTTGGTGAGAACCGTTTTCAACAACATGATGTATACAAACCATGCCTTGAATTTTCTTCTTTACTTTATGAGTGGAAAGCGATTCAGAGACCAGTTCACGGCTCTTATCTGTCCCTGTCGAAATAAGGGCGGCTCCCTCACCTCAGTCTCGTCACAAATGACTATAACATCGCAGGCTGGGTCTACTATGAGTGTAGCTGTGGTTAGTGAGACTGTTGTTAGTAGAACCTCAAAGAATGTAGTAGAGAATTAGAAGACTAAGCATCCAGCGGAATGCCAGAAGGAAAACCTAGGTGGATGGAAGAGCATCTACAAATGTTAACGGAGAACTTCTTTCGGGTGATTCACCATTTTCAATGACCCACTGTTTCATTTTAACATTTGTTTTAATTTATGTCAGATTTCGTGATGCATAAAACGTAAACCTAGTGCTGTTTATTCTTAACAATTACAGAAGGCAAATCCATATTTTAAAACTTATCATGGGAAACTGTATCTAAAGATATAGATTACACGTGCCACGTTTCATCATTTAGCCATATCTTCTGACATTACATATTAATTGTTGTTTCACACAACATGTATGATGTTGTAAAACAATATTGTAGTGCATACTATGAACTCCTAATTAAACTACCATGCATATCTCTCTATTACACAATATTTCTAAGGTATTCAAATATGGAAATTGAATAAAGTTGGATAACAAATTTAATAGAGAAAGACAATAGATATATATATATGGACATTCGGTTTCTGAAATACAAGATTGCGATGGTTTCAATGACAAAGTCTGTAAAGGGGGCAAGTCAGTATCATCCACAATTAAAGACATTGCGAACACGACTTATTGGCCAATTTAAATTAACATTGATGTTGTTATCTTACCGTGAAAAAATTGGTTCACGAATCGCGTGTCATGAAGCGACTCGATAAACGAGGCTAAACCTATCCCACAGGAGAATACTACTGGTGTAGACTGGAATAACCAGACGCAAAAGACTGCCATTGAATTTGGACTCTTCCCGTATTTCGCCGAACATAACTGATTAGAAATTACAGTAAATCAGAAAAGATTGAACGTAAATCAGTTTATATACATTCATAGATTATCATATGCGTTGCGATCCAGTTGTGTCCATTTCTAGGTGCCAAAGAATCGGATTTAGCTACGACTTCAAAAATCAACAAAATCGTGACTAAAATCAGCATAGACGTGACAAGGTCTTTGTCGGCCAGCGTAAAAGAGCGTGGTTGGTTCATGATAGAAACGCGAGAAGCGTGATAGGATAGGTCACGACCTAATTACGCGGATGTGGAGCAGGAAACATGGTCATAGCGTAGTGAGAGCAGGGACTGCATATTGTCAGCTTACCGAGAGCGGGGTAAACGCCTATAATTATACTGTCGCTACGAGCAAAGCGTCCCGGTCACTTTCTTTCTAAGACCAATCAGATCGCGCAACGCTCTCGGAACGTTTCTCGAAAAGCCCCTTCCTTTTCATTTAAAAAGTCCCCACTCGGCACTCATAACGCGTGTTCAATTTCTTGTTAAGCGAGCCACGCTCATTGGCGCGGGCCCTCAGAACGTGTCCACTACGTTGTCCCCACTTCCAATACGCTCTGGACACGTGCTAGGGCGAATGTTCCAAATCCGCGTAGTGAGGTCATGACCTATCACGCTCTCCACGTTCCTACCATGACCTAAACACGCTCTTATAGACCGGGAGCCCAGGGGGTCAACCTAGCTGAAAAGTGTACCAATTTTCTCCTATATGGTATCAATGTATGTATATCTGGTATCATCAAAATGTAAGTCTGCCGGGTTTCTGGTGGTGGGTGTGGTATTCCACGCCCGAAATGCCATAACCCCCAACTAGGCTAGATTAGCTCAAAAGTGTACCAAATGAAAATGGTACAGGAGTGTACCGTACATCTTCAGGTATTACAAAAATACTCAGACATTTCTAGTGATGGGGTACCCCTGACAGAGCTATGTAATTGCCAGACATTTGTAGTGGTGGAGTATCCCTGACAAGAGTTATCTAATATTTAAACCAAAGCTAGGCTAGATTAGCTCAAATCTGTACCACCTAAAACAGCCTTGGAGTTGTTCAGTACCACCACAGGAGTCATGAATGACCACTGCCAGACAGTTTGTGCGGTGGGTTACCCCTAACAGACACGCCCCAAAATGCCACGCCCCCAACTAGGCTAACTTTGCAAGCACTGTTCCCGTGTTTTAAAAAAATAAATTTTTAGCCAGGATGTGTAGAATACTAATACCTAGCACGTATGGAAGAGGCGATAAACTGCGGTTGCAAGAAATTGACTTTTGGGAAAAAACGTTTTATGGGGCTAAAAATGCGTTTTTGAAAAAAAAATAAAAGTTCCTGCAACCACAGTTTATCGCCTCTTCAATACGTGCTAGGTATTAGTAATCTACGCATCCTGGCACAATTTTTAAATTTTTGGACCACGAGAACAGCCCCGGCTAATCTATCCTAGTTGGAGGACGTGGCATTTTGGGCGTGTCTATTAGGGGTAACCCACCGCACACACTGTCTGGCAGTGGTCATTCATGATTCCTCTCGTGGTACTGAACAACTCCAAAGCTGTTTTAGGTGGTACAGATTTGAGCTAATCTAGCCTAGCTTTGGTCTGGAAATTAGATAACTCTTGTCAGGGATATTCCATCACTACAAATGTCTGGCAATTACATAGCTCTGTCAGGGGTACCCCACCACTAGAAATGTCTGTCAGAGTGTTTTTGTAATACCTGAAGATGTACGGTACATTGCTGTGCGATTTTCATGTGGTACACTTTTGAGGTAATCTAGACTAGTTGGGGGGGCATGGCATTTTGGGCGTGGATTACCACACCCACCACCAGAAACCCGGCAGACTTACATTCTGATGATACCAGATATACATACATCGATACCATATAGGAGAAAATTGGTCCACTTTTCAGCTAGGTTAACCCCCTGGGCTCCCGCTCTATTACCAGGTTCAGAAAGATCTCGCCAAGCCCATACTGACGGGTGTTTCAGGTCTTGTGTGGAAGTTTTTTGTAGCTTTCTTGATGGATGAGGCTCAATACCTCTCCTAAATACCAAACTTCGCAAATCGAGGTGAGGTCGTTGTAACGTAGTGTCAACGTGGCGCCGTCTAGAGTGCGGTTTAGCGCTGTGTGGACGTGGCTTAGCATCGTGCAGGCGTGAAGGAAGCGCGAAAGGAACGCAGCAATGGTGCACGCGTAATGAAATGGGGGAAAATGTCTGCGATTTTTTGCGCGCACTTAGAGCGTAGTTGACTACACAATTGAGGGGGTGGGGCATTTCACTATGACCTCCCCACGTTCTATAAAGGTCTTCGTTATCGTTCGCTCGTTCCTTGAGGCCTAACGTCCGCTTTCACTTTGGGTGATGTCGCAGATAAATCTTGGTTATGTGTGAAGGGGACTTAAGTAGCATCTGTTATCGCTTTGTAAAATTGTGATGTCAGAAAAAGTATGTTCGATGTGGAATCTGCAGTCATCTTAAACAATTCTGTTTTGTAACATGAACCGATTAATGTATTGTTATTGTTAAGGGTGGTGAAACATGTACTTATGTTCTGCTCTGTGATTATATCGACTTTAATTGGAGAAGTCAATTGGAACCCTATCACCTGTATATAATATTTGTTTAAAATCAATAACAATAAACAAAGATATAAGAATATATATGTGCTGCACTGTATCGTTTTTACACACCCACATTTTTAATGTGGACACTTTTCTTGCACAAAATCGAGATGGGGGGAGGGAGATCTGAAGGTCTAGGCGTGGGCGGTTAGAGTTTATATATCAGGATAAATAAATTGAGTTTTATTCCTGCTGACAAATTTATTAAGACAAACTGTATACAAAGTTCGTCTTGTATACTCAAATACTGTGCATACCTGAAGTTTATGTAACGTTGCCGAATGATTTATAGATTAAACGAGACTTACCTGTAAGTTGAAATTTGATCGTAATTCTATGTTGCTAGCGACAAACTTAAGAGATTACGTGAGATGACGCTCGTCCGCCAACAGCTCATTCTTCAAAGAGTGAATGATAACAGAAGAGACCAACATAAGAAACAGGGAGGGACAATAAATCACAACATATACAGCAATTGACGGTGGGCACGTAATCTCTAAGTTTGTCGCTAGCAACATAGAATTACGATCAAACTTCAACTTACAGGTAAGTCTCGTTTAATCTATAAATTCTATTGTTGCTAAGCAACTACAGCTTAGCGATCACGTGAGAACTTCAAAGTGCTATCATGAACAAAAACAGTATTAATAACAATCCACAATTAATATCTCATGAATCAAAATTTTAATTAACAATTGCAACAAAAAACCTAAGTTTAGTTTCCCTCTGTTGAACCGACATTGTCCAATATTTTCTCTCCATAAACATCTTCTTTACGTAATGGTTTATCGTAAAACCGTCGAAATGTTGATTCGACCAACCAGCAGTTTTTAGTATTGTCCCAATTGGTACATTAACACTTTGAGCAGCACTAGTTGATGCAGCGCCTACAGAATAAGGAACAAATATTTCCATATCAATTCCTGATAGTTTTTAGATAGTTTTTAACCAACGAGACAATGTGTCCTTAGAAATATGTGTATGAGGCTTAACAAAACTCAAAAATAAAGCATTAGAGCCTTTCCTCAAGTCTGCTGTTCGCTCTATATATTCATTAAAAAAAGTTAACACACACAGTCGCCTGTCTGGTGGATAACTTTTAATCACTATTTCACTTTGTTGATATCCAAGCCTCGTTCGTTTGTTTAATAATATCACCAATTCTAACTCTCAATGCACTTTTTGTCACTGTTATGATTCTAATATCTAATACATAAAGAGTTTGAATTCCTTGGCCTGACAAAATGGCTATTAAACCCAACAACTTTAATGTTAACATTTTTAGTGACAAAGTCCCACTGGTGAAAGTTCTTCACATAATCCAAAATTAAAGGAACATCCCAAGTCACTCCTGTCCTCGGAGGACTAGGCCTAAGGTTGAACACGCCTTTTAAATAACGAACAACCACTTGTCGAGTTTCCACATGTTTTCCATTAATAAAAATAAAAGTTGAAAGGGTGCCCCTGGTCGTATTTAAAGAACTATATTTCAAGTCTTTATGAAACAAGAATGTTAGAAACTCGACAACCTCTATGACAGAGGGCCAAAATGGATCACTTTCCCTTTCGGCACAGTACTCAAGCCAGGTCTCGATATATGTGTTATACAGTCTAGTTGTGGACTGTTTCCATGAAGACATGATAATTTTCCTAAATTTGTCAACAAAATCCTTGGTCTTGCTTGTATCGCCCGAAACCAAGGTACCAATTTTGGTAGATGATCTTTCACATTCTTGAATGGATGTGTCAGTAAATCTTCTGATCTAGGCAAAATAAAAGGCACACCAATTAACATTCTTAATAGTTTTGTATACCAATACTGAGTAACCCAATAGGTTAGAATTAGAAAACCTGTAGCTTTGTCATGCTCAGTCTTGCTAAGAACTCGACCAGTCAAACAGAAAGGTGGAAAAGCATAAAAGAAACTATTTGGCCAAGGAACTGAAAATGCATCTATAACAGTAG